CTCTGGGATTTCTTTGAAGGTGATTTGGGCAGTGCTGGGCTCCCAGTGCAGGGTTTTTCCAGTGGGTGTTCTGTGTCCGTGCTCTCCCAGGGACAGATGGACTCACGGTCTCTGCTTCCTCTCTCCTGCTTTGCAGATATGGTGTCTCCAATGTCTTTGCGGAGACCTTGACCTGTGGAAGGGCTTTTGCTCATTATGGAGAGTCCATCCTTGTCTTCTCTTGATTTTTCTTGGCCTGATGTTGGAGCAGCCACCTCCCAGGGGCAGATTTCTGCTTTATCAGTGGGTTGGAGCTCTGGGGCCTCCCAAGGACAGACCTCAGCCTTCAGGCTCTCCACACTCTGGGATGTCCTCGAAAATGCTTTGGGCAGCGCTGGGCTCCCGGCATGGGATTTTGCTGGAGGCTGCTCCGTGTCTGTGCTCTCCCAGGGACAGATGGACTCACGGTCTCTGCTTCCTCTCTCCTGCTTTGCAGACGCGCTGTCTCCAATCTCTTTGCGGAGACCCTGACCTGTAGAAAGGATTTTGCTCACTGTGGAGAGTCCATGTTTGTCCTCTCTTGATTTCTCTTGGCTTGATGGAGGAGCAGCCACCTCCCAGGGGCAGATTTCTGCTTTATCAGTGGGTTGGAGCTCCTGAGCCTCCCATGGACAGACCTCAGCCTTCAGGCTCTCCACGCTCTGGGATTTCTTTGAAGGTGACTTGGACGCTGCTGGGCTCCCTGCACGGGGTTTTTCTGGGGGCTGCTCCGTGCCTTTTTATCAGAGGGAGCTGCAGCCACCTCCCAAGGGCAGATTGCTGCTTTATCCGGGGGTTGGAGCTCCCATGGACAGACCTCAGCCTTCAGGCTCTCTACGCTCTGGGATTTCTTTGACAGTGACTGGGGCAGCGCTGGGCTCCTGGCATGGGCTTTTGCTGGGAGCTGCTCCGTGTCCGTGCTCTCCCAAGGACAGATGGACTCACGGTCTCGGCTTCCTTTCTCTTCCTTTGCAGACAGGGTGTCTCCAATGTCTTTGCAGAGACCTCGACCTGTGGAAGGGCTTTTTCTCACTGTAGACAGAGCATCCTTGTTCTCTCTTAATTTTTCTTTGTTTGATGTTGGAGCAGCCACCTCCCAGGGGCAGATTTCTGCTTTATCAGTGGGTTGGAGCTCCTGAGCCTCCCAAGGACAGACCTCAGCCTTCAGGCTCTCCACACTCTGGGATTTCTTTGAAGGCAACTTGGGCAGTGCTGAGCTCCCTGTGTGTGGTTTTTCTGGGGGCTGCTCTGTGCCCAGGCTCTCCCAAGGACAGACCTCCTCCTTTATGCTCTCCACACTCTTGAGTTTCTTGGACTCTACTTTTGAGGACTCCAGGCTTTTCCTAATGAGCTTTGCAAAGATTCTGGTGTCCCTGCACTCTGGCTGACGGCCTCTCTTCTCTGCCAGCTTTGTTTTGATATCTCCAAGTCCTCTGGATCCAGGTTTGTTTTCCGCTTTCGAAGTCCCACGCACGTCCTGAGTCAGTGTCTCTTTTTGGAGCTGCAGGCTCTTCCCAAGGGCAGATTTCTGTTTTAGGAAGCGGCTCATCCTCCACTTGCCATGGACAGATGTCGGCCTTTTTGCTATCGATGCTTCCTCCTTGCTTAGACGACGTTTTGGGCAGAGCTGGGTGTTTTGCCGCGAGCCCCGTGCTGGGCTGCTCTGCACCTTCCCCTGGGCTGGGGGATCCTTGCTGGCCGCTCCCCTCGTCCACAGCCGGTGCCGGCTCTCCTGTGCCCCTCGGGGCTGCTCTCTGCAGGGAAGTC